TTCCTGCACAGTCACCTCCAGGTCTCCTCCCATGCTATGCCCTGCTCCCAGATCACCTTCCCGAGGACAGGGCACCCTCCTTGGACCAACACCCTGAAAAATGCTGACCTGGCCATTTTTGGGGCTTGAGTCTTTCTGCACAAGCTTCCACAGCTTATCAGGGTGCCCTGCAGCTGCAAGCATCTTAGAAAAGCAAAGCCATTTGCTATCCATATTGAAAGCGCCTTGCACATTGTGAGCATTGACAAAGCCAAATGATTAGTAGATTAATTAGGCACCCTGTTGCACACAGCATTACAGCCTGAATCTTGAGAGTTTTCTGGCAGTAGATCTCTGGCTTGTTACTTTAAGCCTGTGGTGAAATGCGCAAGAATGAAACCAGACAAGCAGTCCAGACAAGGTAGTAATCCCTCTTTTATGGACAGAGCCACACATTTAAGAGAGCACAAGGATCTCTGCAGCATCTTGGGGTGGAAAAATGCACCCAGTCTCTAGCAATTCATGCCTTAAGCACAGTGAAATGGATTATATATTCCCTCAAAATTTGTTCTGAATTATAGTAACTCTGATATTCTTGATAACTGCCTAAATGCCCAGTTCCTTCCTGCATCTTATTAGGTTCTTGGCCTCAAATAGGCCCCAGCAGCAGGTTTCACAATCTAACTGGTGTTGGAAAAAACATCATTCCCACCTATTAGTTTTGAATTTCACTGAACCTCCCTTGTTTGTGTTCAAAAGGCTTCTCCATGAACTTCCCTAAACTTCTTGTAACTTTGGATAAAGGGATCACTTCCCACTTATGGGCTGAATAAAGTAGGTGGCTGTACCAGGACACAGCTTCAAACCACTGCAATTGTTCTCAAAGCTCGTTGCTTGCCGAACGGTACACGTACACTTGCAACTTGCCCTGCTGCCACTGCAGCCATGCAACCTTCAGAAGAGGAACACGGCACATATGTAACAGCAACAGGAGTCAGACAGGAGCTGATCACAGGAAAGAGAGAACATGTCAGACAGCTGAAGCGATGGAAGATAAGTGTGTAGGAAACAGCAGAAACACTCCGAGAAGAGATTGAAATAGATTGACTGTCCTTAGGTATTTGTAAACACTGTCTATATTCTCAGTGTTACACACCTTGCCTGAAAGCAAACTCCCACCAGAGCCTTCTGAGTGACCAACACCACTCTCCATAGTGCTCAGTCTGGTGTCCTGTGATCAACTCACCAAAAATTTCACAAAACGAAGCAAGGAAACCACATTTGAAGCAGGCACTCAGAGACACACTAAACTCACAGTGGCCATTTTGGTCATAGAGTAGAGGCATATAAATTAGCATGAACTTGCCCCAAAATGGATCTATTCTTCTATGGCCTCCTAAACCAGACCTCTGGCTGCCCTGGCTATCTTGAGCACAGTAAAGCACCCAGAAGGAAACCACTGGCCTAAGCTCTTCTGAGCAACTTACCCTGGAAGAAGCATGCTTTACCTTCTGACCACTTGTGCAACACTGCAGATACATCGTGGCTAGTAGAAATGTCTCTTGGGCAGTCATTATACCATGTGTGGCTTGGTGGACGTATCAAAAGTGTAAAAGGAAAATAAAGTTCCTATGTGGATAATGAAAAACCAAGTACCTTGTTTGTAAGTTACTGGCAAAATGGGAAGTTAATTGCATTTTCAGACATTTTAGACAGCAAAAGGCAAAAGTCTCAAAGGGATTTCATTGTGAAACAGCAGAAGCAGCAGTGCTCACCCTTTCATCCAACAGCTCCATAGTTTGCATGTTCCACTTAAATATAGGAGATCTAGTCTCCTACTTCACTGCATGAGTTTAAACCATTGCCTCCCTCCTCCTGGAGGAGGAAGGCCGGACTCCATGGGCTATAGGAAACCCCAGGACAGAGCCATCCTGTTAAAATCGGACCAGAAAGGCAGAGACTCCAGAGTAATTCCACAGGGAGTGCAGCCCAGTGCAGGAACTCCCACTTCCCATCTGGTGCTGCAAATCAATGCCACCTCTATGTGACTTTAGCCTGAAAAAAGGAACATATTCCAATTCAGAAGTGTCCAAATGAATCATGTCAATGCTCCAGATGGAAAAGACACTTCCCTTATATTAATTCAACTAAATGCAATCCAAACGCATAAAAGTTTTGTGTTGGCCAGAACTGCATCCTCATTAATTAAACCATTTGTAAAAACCGGGCAAGCCCTAAGCAAGCTGACCTCTGTTTCAGTGAGTAGCAGGACTAAGAGGGCATGGTTTCCAACCAGCAGCTTTCTCACTACTGGATTTTCTGAGGCCTTGTGAAATCTGAAGCTCTGTCACCATTCATTATGCCTCCCCTCAACATGGATTCTCCTGCAGGATACAGGCATCCATACACTCCCCAGGAGCTGTGCACCCAATGAGGCAGATGCCAGTGATAATTCACATCCCCAGCTGCTGCTGCTTTCCCTTCGAAGCAGATCTCAGCAAGTCCCAGCAAGCACAAGGGAGAGGCTTAGGGTTTGCTCTAGTATTCCTGCTCACATGAAGCTACTGCCAAAAGCAGAAGAGGAGCCTTCCTGCTGCAGCCCCTGGAATGAGCCCTGCAGCCCAGGGCAAGATGGCACAACACCGCCAGAGACCTGTGAATGGCAGCTCCCATACAAGAGCACAGGGACACGTGTCCTCTGCATCACCTGGGACAAGCGTGCTCCCTCGGGACAGACCTGATGCACTCCCACAAATGTCCTGGGAAAGATCCAAGCTTGCCAGGCAGATAAACCCATGGTATCCTGTCCCAAGCCCAGAAAACTGACTGGATCCAAATCAACCCAGCAATTGAATTAAGGACCCGCCATCCTCCCCCTCCGCACCTGTTTATCTTCTCACCTGATCAACATACAATTATTTTGTGGCAGCTCTGCACAAGACCTCTTTTTCTGGTAGGATGAAGCATGTCCAGATGCATCTGTATTCTTAGACAGGCCACACTGTGTAGAGCCAGCATCAAGTTCATGCTAGATTTTTGAAAGCCCATCTACCTTTTAAAATATATTTGATGGTGGCTTTCAGGCTTATTTCATTACAAACCTCAGGTGACCTTAAAAATTCTTAGATCATCACTGGTTCTTTCTTGCAATTACTTACAAGTTCTCATAGATTATTTTAAACTATTTCCACCCAAGTTATCCCAGGATACATTTCTGCTGGTGGATTTTGCTAATGTTTGGTTTGCACAATGTAAAATATCAGCATCACTGGGGATGGCCTCAGCAGGCCCCTCAGGGATGACAGCCCACAGGCTCCTGCTAACCTGCAATGGTACAGCAGAGGCCATGCCATCACCTTCCTGGGCAGACTAGCAGAGCTGGGATCCCTCCATCAAGCACCTTGAAGGCAGCCAGAAGAGCTCATAAATCACAGGCTCTTTGTCTCAAAGCATTCACAAAACTTATAAAGGCAGAAAAAACAAAATAAAATCTCTCTTGGTCTGTGTTCTCTAAAACAGAGACTGAGCCACAGCTTCAAATTGTATGCATCAGTGTAGGTCTATTCATTCAAAAGAGATGACTCAACTTCCAAAAAGCCTCATGCTTAAGGTCATGGGCTGCAGCAAAAAAGAGCTCTGAGCACAGGTTTTCTTACATGAAAATTCACCTTTAGCCACTCTCCATCCCTCTTTTTGGTGTGCATTTTTGTAATTTTACCTCCCTTAAAACACATTAATCTAAAATGCAAGTGCTTGGATACCCTGCCAGACTTTGGATGCAGAGTTTCTAGGCCTTCAGGCTCTAAATAGTTACAAAACACCCCAGAGTATAGTTCATGAGACAGAAATTAGGACCCCATCAAAATCTTTGCACTTACTAGCACAGAACTTCAGGAGTTTGGAGAGTAAATGGGAGATTGCTGGACTAGGGCAGAACAATCAGTAAGTCCTGGATTTTTCTGCAGAAAATACCCATTATATGGTCCCGGGGGAACCATCAGGTTTGAAAGAGTTAGAAGCTGTTTTGCTGTGGTGGAAAAAGTCTACTGAAAACAGAAAAGCCATCTTCTCCTGAAAATTGTGTCTCCTGGAGATCACAGGGAACAGGGAGGTCCATCAGGAAACTAAAGGGTGGAAAGATAAACAAAAACCACAGGACGGACAGGCAAAAAGGTGAAAACAGAAGTGCCTCCTTTGCTTGATGGTTAGTTTCCAATCATAAATGTATTACAAAAAGGAAATCTTTTGTGTGGGAAGACATAACATCCAGCTGATCTCCATTCTACCAGGGCACAGCTTATCCCTATGAGAGGAAAAAGATCAAAGGAAAAGATTAAAGGAAGCAATTTTCAATTTTAAACAGTCTTAACATGATAGAAAGGAATAGTATGAACAGCAGCTGAAAGACACTTGGGGTCTAGGAGAGATGCCTTGGCTGAAGGTACTGCAGTGTTTTCCATATTTGTCTGCTTTATTTTTAAACACCCAGAGCCTTTGCTTGATCAACACTTCCTTGTAAAAGAAGGAAGCAGAGGAGGAGTGAGAGACTGTGGGGAGAGAGGCAAATGAGGTTGGAAATTGATGATCTTCCCAGCCATGAAAGTCAAAATTCCTACGTGAAACCAAATCCTCCTGGAGCGCTACACAGGCGTAGGGGAAAATGGGAGAGAAGGAAAGAAAGAAGATTTATTACTTAAGCAGAACTGAAATTCTGATGAGAAAAAGGACTGTTCAATCCATGCCTGAATCTCAACAGCAGTTCTGAAACTGCGTTTGTCATATTTCCCTCTCCTTTGCACACATTAAAAAAAATACAGGGGAGGTGGTTGGGGTTTTTAAAGAGGGGGGTGGGGGGGAAAAGCCACTGAAAGTCCCTTGATCTTATGAAGCCCTGAACTCTTATATTCCATTTATAGCTCGAGTTGGAATGACATCCCCCTTGATTAGCAAGCTGTCCAATCCAGCTGCATGTGGCAGGACTGTACGAAGCACTACGTGAAATATATATATGCCCTTACAGAGTTTAGCACATTGGGTCCACCTCGAGGGCACAGGCTGTAGCTCATTCTGACCACTGCTCCTCTCCCGGGAATCACTTTTAAGGGCTGCTGTTTGTTTTGGGTTTTTTTTAAGTTTTTTTGGGGAGGAGCACCTTTACTTTCAAGTTTAAGCAACACAAAATGGCACCAAAGAAGGACGTAAAGAAACCAGCGGCAGCACCAGCACCTGCACCCGCGCCAGCACCAGCACCCGCGCCAGCTAAACCCAAAGAACCTGCAATCGATCTCAAGAGCATCAAGGTAAATGGATGAACGCGTGCTGATTGCGGACCCGAAGCGTTCCCAAAGGGGAAACTTAGCAGAGTCCTGGCTGAGACCTGCAGTGAAGTGTTGCATGTGTTTGGTTCCAGTTCAGGGACTGCGGTGAAATGAATGAGTAACCTCAGTCAATGGGTTTGTTGACCTGCCTGAGCTTTTGATTGTTTTAGTAGCTAGAGGGGTGTAAGGCATGGCGCATGATTTAACACAAGAGTGAAGCCAAGTGATTTCAAAAGGGTTTCGGAGTGTGGCCCTCAGAATTTTTTACCAAATCAGTAACAGCCTGACCTGTTTAGTAAAGTCAAATTTAAAAGAAAAAACAACCAACTCCCACCCCCAAATCCCTAAAATACGTGCATGAGGACCGGAAAAGGTTACTGAAACTTGAAGTGCAATGTTTTCCCATAGCACTGTACTAAAACCAAACTTTATTTTGCAGTTCCCCCTCAAATTCCTTTCTAAATTTGTGCAACCACCTAGTGACTCCTTGGTCATGTGTTTTGAGATCAGCATAGCTGTCTTTAAAAGCAGAAACAGAACAGATTTAAAAAAAAAAAGGGGGATTTGGCTGTTTCAGCTGTTTTCATTTGCATTGTACAACAAACTGATAGACATCATGAGCTAGAAAGCTATGGATGGAAGCATTTCAAGTGATTTCCTCTCACCTTTATATATTTGCTCAGAATTTGCAATTTGCTGCAAACTGAAAGCAACAAAGAGGAAGGCTCTTTCAGAGGTTTCCCTCTGACTACATTTCCATTTGATCTCATAGTGTCTTTAGACTTTGCATGCCAACCAACATCACTGATTGTTGCCTTGACCCTTCTAGGAAAACTCCTCCATGTTGGGAAACTCTTTACTTAGGAAAGAGGAGAGGGAGGTTAAGTGGTTAAAGAGATGGAGAGACAAACCAGTTTCTCTGGGTAGGACTATAAATAGTTATTCTCCACCTACCTGACAAGCTGGTTGGTCCCAGGACCAATTTGCTAAATTCTGCATAAGCAGTCATGCCTATTATGGAGAAAAGAAGGAGTACAAACACCCTTAATAGAACCTACTCACTTCCATCTCATGATGAATTCTGTTTCAGGTATCTTAATACATACAGTCCTCAGATCATGACCCATTTAGTGAAATTTCTTGACCTTTACTTCAGTTTTCACAATCAGTAGTCAGTGTTTTTCTGAAACAGTATGTAGCTTCTCATAACATTGAAGCTGAACCCACCGGCAAAGTAAAACAAGAGTAAAGCAAAACAAGAGTAAGGGAAAAAATACATTTTGAAATACCTTGAGTGATCATAGTAAAGGCTACATGAAAAGCCCACTGGTTTTGAGAGTACTATCTGAAAATTAGATTAGACCTCACATTTCACTCATTTCCAGAGATGAAAAGGAACGCAAGCTAGATTTCCTACTAAATAATTTAATATGATTTGATAGCTTTCTATGTCCAGTTCATTAGAAGAAAATAGAATTTTCAACTCCAGTGATCCTAGCTAATCTATCTTTACATAAATAGACTTACTAGTGTATTACCGGCGAAAAACTGGCAGGCTGCAGTCTGAGGCATCTCTGCAGTTCACTCCTTTTCCTAGACAGCTCTCTATAATGGCAGGAAATATATACTGGTAGCACAGAGAGAACGCTCCTGGTTTTGTCATATTCAGACTGATAAAAGAAGACAGTTTCCGTAAATTCTTTCTTTTGAAAGGTAATATCTGACAAAATATTTTCCTCTTTGAAGAGGGGGAAAAAAAACCTGGGCTAGCAAGATAAAACTATTATTTTAACACTAACGGCAGCACATAAGCATTACTAATCCTATTTGCAAATAAGTGAAGGTATGAGCACTGTCACAGAGGCTACAGGACTGCCCTACAATGTGATGGTGGCACAGCCCCCTGCCCTGCATGCTTATCACTAGCATGATATCACTATCTCTTCCGCTCTTCGTTGTGCCCTTACCAGGCAAGGAGCAGGGTGTCTCAGAGGAGCTTCAAGGGTGGACAGAGCCTCCCCCACAGCAGGGGGAGCCTAGCCAACCACACAGTCATGGCCACAAGGTGATGCAGAAACCCACGCTACCCACGAGGGTGACACATGTCCCCTCTGTCCCTGACCTTCCCCTCTCACCTGAGACTCCACATCAGTCAACGGCTGCCTAGGTAGACTGTAGCACCTCCAGTGCTGGGCTTTTCGAGAAGGTACCAGGAACAACAATGGTGGCTTTCATCCTGCCTTGGAGAAGGGGCAGGGACTGGACAACCTCTCAAGGTCCCAATCAACCACCCTGGGTTACCCTTTTTCACCCTTTGAGAGATCAGGCAGTGAAGGGAAACAATGCCACATCTCCCAGGCAAATCACTTCTCAGAAGACAGTCAGGAATACAAATTTGCCCTGTCCCTTAACTGGCATTAATTAATTCTGAATCCTTCCATTCAGCCACAAAAGTCTCAGCATGTGAAAAGGCACAGAATAATTTCCAGCAAAACTTTGGAGGCAGAGAGTACTTAAAACTAGGTTTTTGACCAGGACTCAGTGAGCAATCCTGTCCTGGGGCAGGGTCTTTGTGCTGATTTACCAGGCCTTGAATTCATAGCCTTCAGCACTTTGAACAAGGGCATCAAGTGGGCTCCCCTCCACTCCTCAGGGACAGAGATGTCTCCTCAAGGGACGTCCAAGACCCTTCTAATTGTCACACCTGGAGTGGGTAAGGATAGAGGTGCCTAATGGGTTTACAGCAGCCCAATAAGCCACATTTGGCATTGCACTTCATTTTAAATTGTCATCAGAGACCATAATATTCTCTAAAACAAGCAAGAAGGTGGTTTACAAACTTTCTTTTGGTGGTACCCCTTCTCTCAGATACCCTGTGTGACCCATGTTCAGGGAATCTGGTTTTATGAGCCTTTTGGGGTGCACACTTTGAAAGTTAGGCTTTTTTTTTATTCCTTAAAAGGTCTCAAGCTGGGTTCTTGCAAATGCAGGCACCCCAAAATTGCCTGTCACCATCAGAGTTGTGACAGGCCTTTCACCCTCTTCTGTTCTTTTTTCCCCACTTTAATCCAATTAAAGGAAATACTTGGTGATTTGCTAGTACTAATAGCAGCTGATATGGGATTTTCTATTTTTGAGCACCATCTATTGGCTATAAAAATAACAGGAATACCTAACTGCTCAAGACTCAAATCACTAAACTCAGCCTTCCCTCAGCTCACCTTAGGTTACAGTACAACAACCACAGGAGGACATCAAGGCAGGGAGGAAGAATTTGTTTTTAAATGGAAATGTAAAGACCCTTTTCCCCAAACTCGGGAAAAATTCAATCTTCTTTGCACAAGCCTTTCCAGACCAAATTTATACTTCCAGTTTTCCTTATTACTAGCATGGCCTGGATTTGAACAATAGGTACAAACGTTAAAGATGAAATCATAACTGAGAAAAGAAGAACAGGGTAATGGATGCATCTAAGAATTAAATTAAAGGTAATTAAAAGCAAACTGATTAAAAGCAAAATGACCATATGGGTAATTTTCTTAAGAGACTCCCGAGAATTCTGTAATTAAAACTGGCCAAGAACACTCCCCAAAAGATAGCTTATCTATTTTGTCAACTTCCTTCTCCCTCACAAGCTTGAGAGAGAAGAAACGTTGAGCTGCCAAACAGCACTACTATGAGTCTATGTCTGCAACAACTGGGATGAGACATTAATGATGAGGATGTCTCAAGCTTGGTTTTGTAACTGAGGCAGTGGGAAATGGATAAACGTCATAGTGCCCAAATCCATTTAACTCGGTCCCTATCACTAACAGGAAAAGTGTGTGGGTTTTTCACTGGAAATCTAAGGGCCCTTCCCAGCACACACAATGAATCCTTGGACTGAGCCCAGGCTCATAGCATTAACTGCAATGTTTTGGGATCTGGGTGCTGGAGATGCTGAGTGCAGTCCTTCATAGGCTTCTGCTCTGCAGATGGTAATCTGAACGTGTAGCACTCTGATCACACACCAGGCCCTTTATTTCAAGGATACACCTGAGTATCCTCTCTTGAGCACAGACAGAGATTGGGTTCTTGCAAGTATCCATAGCCTAAGTGACTTCAATTTGGCACACAAGGTTTCACATGCTGGTCTTTTCAAGACTGAAATCTCAGGACACCAATTATGCCATGCTCAACAGCAGATAAGCTACCCACATCTTTAGGGGGAAAATAACTAAAAGCTGTCAACTAGTAAAGACTTGCTAAGGCCTTGTGTAACTGTGTGATGCATGACAAAGCCTGCTGCACGGAAGCAAACCTGTGTTTGCAAATGTGTGATCATTTGTTTTTAAATACAGAGCTCTTAAGGCAGTAAAAAGTGTTTCTCCATGTGTCCTTATTCTTATTACATTCACTACTCAAGTAGGTCATCTGTGAACAGACATTGCATTGGATATAACCAGAGAGAGATAAACGCACTAAAATGCACTGACAAAAAGCTTCTGGGCTGGAGGGCAAGCAGGACTGCAAATGTCAGCTGAAGCGCTCAGAGAGCTATTAACGCTGCAGACAAACTCCACGTGAAGCTGTGGAGTGAGAACAGGAATGTTAACAGTCGCTTTACTCATAGTGCTAAGGGCTTTCTTAGGAACTGGCAGGTTTTTGCCTGAAATTTTTGGCACAGACGTTCAGATTATGCCTGATCCAGCTCCAGTGATGACTCCAGAAAGTTTCCCTAGGACTGATATACCCATTAGACAAGGTCACCAGTCCCAAGTGCTCTTTCAGGTAGGAAGGGGACAAGCACAAACATGACTTAGCCTTAAGAGATGTAAAGGTGCCTATCTGACACCATCCTGACCAGCTTCCTGCTACCGCTTTCACCGCTAAGACAGCACCATTTGGGATCCATCCTGGAGCAGAGCAGCCCCAGCCAAATCCCTTGCCCCAGTGAACCCCACCACTGATGCCAGACCCACGATGATAGCAGTTGCTAAATC